CCTAGTGGGGCCCAGACAAGCACACGGATGATGAAAAATGTTCAGCAGAGTTGGGCAAAAGCGTAACACCCAAAACTGCTACAGGATTCCAAGGAGGAAGATATTTAACAGAGAGGGCAGATCTGAAGGCTGCAGGGAGGTGGCTGAAGGAAGAAGTAGGGTGGAGATACTTTGTTGTCGCTGTTTCTTCCTCTCCCTTCCTCCCTCCTCCTGTCCACCATGAGGCAGCTCTGACTTTGATGGTGGAAAGATTTAAAATGTAAACATGGGAAGACACTTGTTAGGGTCCCCATTGGTGAGGTCCCAGAGGAGCTGGAAGGGAACAGGAGGAAGGTAAGGAGAGGAGAGAAACCGACCAATGGGAAAGGAGTGGGGGAGAAACTGAGGCACAGGGCCAAGGAAAGCTCCAGGTCGATGATGCTCCTCAGTACTAGGGAGCTGCTGATCTGCTGGGAGTGAATCAGAAGAAATCTGGAACAGGATGGGAAGCCATGAGAGATCGCTATGGAAGCTAGGAATTCCAGGCCGCTGTTTGGAATATCAGCTCCTGGCCAAAGCTCTAAAAAATTATTTATTACCAAAATCTAAAAAACCTCATTTTTTGACCTGGTCAGGGGAAATGGTGCCCTGCAGCATGCAGTCGTCCTTACTGCCCAGGGCTTTGCTGCTAGGGATGGGCAAGGGTCCAGCTGTGCCCTTTCAGAAGTTGCATTCTGTCCTAGAGCCTATTCCCACCCACATAATGGATGTCTAGTCTCATAGACTACCCTGCCCTGGGTAAGGCATGGCTAACTCAAGCCGTTCCATGATACCCGTAAAGAAGTGTCAACAGAAAACCAAGATGATAGAAACAATCGGATCAGACTTGGAAGCAGATGAGCTCAGGCACTGATGCACGCACATGTGCCCAGTCCACATGGCTTCCCCTGGAGGCAACGAGTGAGCAGATAAATCAGACACCCAAAGTCATGCTGGGCACTGGACACTAGTTGCTTGCAAGCTTTGATTACTTATCAAAATGATCACTCTAAAGACCACCTTTGGAGCCAGGCTTGGTGGTACATACCTATAATCCCAGCACTCCAGAGGCTGAGGCAGGAGGACTGAAAGTTAGGTGCCAATCTGGGATACATAGTGAGACTCCTGTCTCACAAAAAATGAAAAAAAAAAAGAAGGAACATGTTTATCAACATAACAGGTAACGGTTGCTTCCTTGGCACACTGACCTGAAGTATCGCAGTGGTTACTATCTTGGTTTACATGCTTAGTATACCCAATGCTGGAACCCCCAGGAGGCTGGCAAGCCATTACAGATTCAGCAGGGGAAGGGTTTGTGGCAGGAGAATCAGTCCTACTGGTCCTTCCCAAACCCTGGACACCAGACAGCTGTTTAAAGCCTAATCTAGTGCTAGGTGCAAAACATGTCCACAAGAATGGTGTTTTCTGTCTGGTGCTGGTGGCTCACACCTATAATCCCAGCTTCTCAGGAGGCAGAGATCAGGAGGATTAAGGTTCAAAGCCAGCCTGGGCAAATAGCTTATGAGACCCTATCTTGAAAATACCCAACACAAAAAAGGGCTGGCAAAGTGGCTCAAGCGGTAGAGTGACTGCCTAGCAGGATGAGGTCCTGAGTTCAAACTCCAGTGCCACCAAAAAAAAAAAAAAAAAGAATGGTGCTTTCTGTGATGGCCAGGATGGGTCGGACCTTTGTCTGTTTACAAATGCATGCATGGGAGGGAAATGCAGGTGTGTGCACGGCTTGTTTAGTTCTTGCGGCAGAGACTCCTGCATCCACCATCCAGCTAAGCCCCAACCAGTGGGTTCACTGCAGTGCCCTGCTCCCGCCTCCCTGTGGGTAACTAATTAATAAACTTTCCCTTAATTGAGTTCTGGCTGCCAAGCCCACGGGGATTATTACTAACATATAAGTGAACAAAGTTTCCATCTTAAACAGAGCATGAATCTTCTCGATCTGTTTTAACCACAGTCACTGCAGGCAGGCAGGTGGCGGCCAGGAGGCTGGGCCCGTCTGGCCTGCTCCAGGGCCCTCAGCAGCCACAGGTAAGAGGGGGAGCTATGTCCTTCCCGGTTTACCTGGCAGCCTGGATCCGCCCTGCTCTAGTCCCATCTCCTGAGACATCAAACAGTACCTAAGAGAGGTGCGGGGAGCCTGACAGCAGCTGCTTTTTGCTCTGACCTGAATTTATTATTTAAAAGCAATTCTCTCTCACAATTTAAAAATAGGAAGAAGATGAGTTTGGTGTTAAATATTTAATAAGTGCCAGGATTGATGAAGTACGGAGTTGGGGATGGGCCTTTGGTTTTAGGTAATGTCTTTGCCTAAGCTTTTGTAGAAACCAAGTTTCAGATGCTTACACTTGAAGTACTTTAATTAACTGTTTCCACGGTTTTTCCCCACTTTCAGAACCCAAATTGAAAGCAGAACAAGAAATTAAAAAGTGAAAAACCAAAACAGAGCCATCTGAGTTTGGTTTGCAGCCTAGAAAGCAGACAGCATCCCACCCTCTGGGTTTCTCTGCCCAGGGCCTTTTGGGGGCCGTTTGGCTCAAGATTTGTGAGTCACCCTCTGCTGAAGGTCCAAGAGCCCACTGCAGGCTATGAGGACTGCTAGTGACAGCTGCCTGAACACACTCTTCTCAGATTCTTCTTTTCACTCTGCTAGACATTACCCAGAAAGAACAGCTGGGTGGGATTCACACCCACTCCTGGGATTCACACCCACTCCGTGCAGGGAGACACGTGTGTACAGGGCTGGATCTTCTTGTCCCTGTCCCCTAGCCCATTGTTTCCAACCTTAAGACATCATTCCAGCTGGACATTGGTGGCTGATGCCTATAATCCTAGCTACTCAGGAAGCAGAGATCAGGAGGATGGCAGTTTGAAGCCAACCTGGGCAAATAGTTTGAGAGACCCTATCTCAAAAAAACCCATCATGAGAAAGGGCTGGTGGAGTGGTACAAGTAGTAGTGCCCTACCTAGTGAGCACGAGGCCGACAACAACAAAACAACAAAAAAGAGCAAGAACGTCATTCTACACTGAAGCTCAGAGATCCCCATTCAACACTGCCTGATCTCCCACACCCTCCCGTCGCCATGTCAGTTCCTCAGCAGTGGAAGTGGTAAGTGCTCAGGCTGAAGCCCAGAAGCCCTGGCCGGGACACTCCAGCCCCTGGGAGAGCATTTTCATTCAGTCTGGGGTGGGGACAGGGCCAGGTCTCTTGGGTCAGCAAGGAAGAGAGGTGAGGCAACAGCAGGCGTGAGTCTCAGCCACACGCTGTGGAAGGAAGGAAGCCAGGGGCCAGAGGACCTGCGTGGACCACATGTTCTGGGTAAAGGTCAAAGTTCAAGGACAAAAAACAGACCACTGACTGTCAAGGGCTAGAGGTGGGGGAGGGCTGGCTACATAGGACAGGGAAGGTTTCAGGGCACAGGCTTTGTTCGCATCTTGGTAGTGTGGTGTGATGGTTACTCACTGTGTGGATTTGCCAAGATTCGTCTAAAGACACCTAAAAAGGGTAAATTTCACTGGACGGAAATTACACCTCAATAAACCAAGTCTATAAAACAAGGCTAAGGAGGAGGAACACAGCAGGAGTCAGGTCAAGGAGGCACTAAGATGGGGGACGGGCACTGTCTCCAGGAACACCGGTGTTCGAGTCTTGGGGGCAGCAGGGATAGGTGTCATCTGGAATAGGTTTGTTGACAGCCTCTGCCTCAGTCAATGGGATTCATCATCCCAAGCCAGTCTGCTCTCCTAACTCAGAGTGTTTGCTTTTCTGGCATCCAGGGTCCACAAGAATATTCCAGAAAGCTCTGGGGAGAGGGGCCTAGGTTTGGAAATCCCTACTGATGTGGGCTCGAGGAGCCATGGAAGTAAAGAAGAATAAAATTTTGTCGTTTGCAGGTAAATGGATGAACTGGAGGACATCACTTTAAGTGAAGTTAGCCAGGCTCAGAGGCCAAAGGCTGCATGTTTTCTCTCATATGTGGAATTTAGACCTAATACAAATATAAGCACTATTATGAAAAACAGGTCACATTAAGGGGAGGTCACTGACGGGAGAGAGAGGGTAAAAGAAGAAAGTTAAGAAGGTGAATATGGTTGATGTACTTTCTGTGCAAGAATGAATACAGAATTTTAAAACCTATTGAAATCACCATAAGTAGGGACAAAGGTAGAAAAAAGAAAAATAGAGGGGATGAACGAATTCGTGTTATGATACATACATACGTGGAAATGTCACAAAAAAACTCCCTACATAGCTATCTTAAACAAACAAAATGTCTTTTTTTTTCCCCAAAACAGAATGGGGGGTGGCCCAAACAAAGTATGCACATGTGAATAAATGTAAAAATGATAAAATAAAAAAACCAAAGAACAAGAAGGCAAAATAGGTCCTGCCAGGGAGGCTGGCACAGCAGGAGGGAAGATGTGAGGAAAGGGTATAGGAGGGGGATATGGTGGGATGTTATGTACTTATGAATGAAAATGGAACAAGGAGACCTGCTGGAACTATTCCAGGACTGGGTGGAGAGGGGATAAAGGAGGATGATAGAGGGGTGAATTCAACTACAATATATTGTAAGCACCTTCGTGAATGTCACAATGTGCCCCAATACAATGGTAATTTAAAAAGAAATAAAATAAAAATTTTCAAGAAAGTTAAAAAGTGTGCATGGGTGCGTGAGGGGTGGTTGGCTGGGGGCAGGGTAGATAAGAAAGAGCAACAGAGGATCAAGTGGTAGAGCACTGCTTAGTAAGCGTGAGGCCCTGAGTTCAAACCCCAGTGCCACCAAAAAAGATAGGGTGGGGTGAGTGCACCCTTTGCCCTTGGGCAGTCCAAAGGTGAGCTTGAGTCCCTTCTCCGCAATTATCAGGAGTAACAAATCACCGACTGCGCTGTGGAGCACCCGTACTCCTCTGCGGGAAGGTCATGGGCGTCCAGACCAGGGTGCGGCCGAGGGTGCAAACCACTTACTTCCACCTTTGCCACTCTTCTCCATCCGGTACTGGTACACGTGCAGGGTGAAGAGCATGTGGGAGCTGCGGTGGTCGTCCTCGTCGCAATCTTGCTGGTTGCCCCTGCGGGAGGCGATGGCAGCATCCAGGAAGAAGGCGGCCTTCTCGGCAGTGGGGGCCCGCAGCTCGCTCTGGTTCTGCAGCTGGAAGACACAATGCCGAGCTGAGGCTCTGGCCTGTCCCTGGGGCCTGGGTGCCAGCTGGCTGTCCATTCTGCACAGTGAACTCACATGCCTCTCCTAAGGCCCCAAATCCTTCCAGAACCAGGTCCAGCACTCAGGGGCAACTGTCAGCTTAATTCATTTCTAAAGCTTCACAGAGTGCATTTTTTGGGTACCACCGTTTTCATGTGTTTGCAGCTTGAGTAGAATCTGCAAACGGCAGGTAGGAGGAGCAAATGGCTCTGGCTGAGGGAGGGGAGGAGCGGGTGGGCTATCCTACCTGCAAAGGATGGTGGAGATTCAACTACAAAGTCAGGGGACTGTGTCTTGAGCTCAGAGATGACATTGTGTGGACACAGAAGGCTGCGGACATGTAATTTTAGACCTGCGTTCACGTGACTCCTAATCTTTCAGTGATTTTATTGGAGCTACCTTGGGCCACACTTTCTAGCATAGTCATGCATGTGGAGAAGGCTGTGGAGAAGCCACACTTGATGGTCTCATCTGCATTAAGAGATCTATTTTGACCTATAGTTCCTGAGTTCATGGTCATGGCAGACTCAGTGAGTGCGTGGGTGATGTGTCCACATCCTCTGAGAACTCTTGCCCCAAATCAGAAAAACCACGTGCCACAATTTGACCAGTATGCCCTTTTTACAGGAGAAAAGGAGACCCATATTTTTGTTTTTTGAGACAAGGTCTATGTGGCCTAGGCTGGCCTCAAACTAATGATCCTCCTGCCTCAGGCCTCAGAGTGCTGGGATTACAGGCTTGTGCCACCAGGCTAGGCTAGGAGACTCATTTCTGATTTGTTCAAAGAACTGGCAGCGTGTCTTAGGGCCGGCACAGATTCTGACAATTTCCCACTCTACCTCTAATCTCCAACTGGGAGAGCCAATATTTGGAACTTGAGACCATTGAAATCCTGGAACTGCAAAGAGATTTTATTGTGTTCATGCTTTTGTGCTTACTGTAGCAAAGTAAGCCGAAGAATTAAAAAGCGTTCTGACAGGAAGGGTTTCAGTGGAGAGGGTGTGGATCTCTCCATCATTGTCCCCATCCCTCAGGTAAGTGGAACTTCACTAAGGGACTCACAAAAGTGAATGGAAGGTCGCACCAGGTAAGCAGAGGGCGCAGCTCCTCTGGCTCCATCACAGGTACTGTACTTCAGAACCAAGGTTCTCTAAGTGTGACCCCTGGAGAACGCGACAGAAATGCACACCTGGGGGCTCGCCCAGACCTAGTGAATCGGAAACCCTGGGGTGGAGCCCAGCAATCAGTGCTCGAGCAAGTCTGCAGGTGCCTGATGCAGACTCTGGGATTTGAAAGGGAAACATGGGCGGAGGCTGAGCATGGTGAGGTTTAGGTAGATGGGTGCAGTAGAGACCATAGGGCATCCTCAGTGGTCCCAACTGTGATGAGGCACCTGTCTAAAATAGGAGGCATCTGAGGCCAGGACTCATGGCTCATGCCTGTAATCCTAACTACTAAGGAGGATGAGATTGGGAGGATCACAGTTCAAGGCCAGCCTGGGCAAAAAGTTAGCAAGACTCCATTTCAACCAACAAAGCTAGGCATGGTAGCATATACCTGCAATCCTAGCTACATAGGAAGCATAGGTAGGAGGATCAAGGTCTGAGGCCAGTCCCAAGCGAAAATGTGAGACCCTATCCAAAAGATAACTAAGCAAAAATGGGCTGTGGATATGGCTCAAGCAGTAGAGTGCCTGCCTAGCAAGCATGAAGCCCTGAGTTCAAACCCCAGTACCACCAAAAATGAAATAAAATAGGAACACCCGGTAAAAGTAGACACAAAGCCTCTTGTAGGAGAATGTAAGAACTGACTGTTCTGGAAATGAAGGCTAGGGGACTCCCGTGTCGTTTCCTTCAACTATTGTCAGACAGTGAGCGAGGGACCCTGGTGACAGGGTCACATTTGGCAAAGGTGGCCCGGAACTGCTCTTGGCTGCCCCAGTCCCAGCACTTGTGTTCTGGTTCTAATTAGACAGCAGTTATGGTTTCTTCCTCTGGCATGGTCAATCGGGCTCTAAAGCAGAGCCAGAAACAGTCCGGCAATGGCCGCTGTTCTTTGTGCGTGGCTGGAAATATTTCGGTTTGTTGTTAAACAAAGAAAGCTTGTACCCCCCGCCCCCAAGCCTCCATGTTGGCAAGGGGTGCAGAAAAGGTGGATTCAATTCCCCCGATGCTAAGACCATCGTGGTTTCTGCTCATTGTCAGGGAGATGCAAGGTACAAATATTTAGGTTGTTGAGCAGACGGCCCACAGCTGCAGGCCATAAAGACCAGCATACTTCAAACACCAAACCTTGTCGTTTACAGGGGGTCACAGGCAGAGCTGCCCCAGCCTCGAGGCGGCTGTGAGCCACTCGGTGTGCGGCAGACTTCCAGAAGCAGTCACCTGTGTGCCACAGATGGGGTCCTCGCAGAGGTACACGCCTGGGGACTGGCCGTCCTGCAGGCTGCCTGTGGCCACCTCGGATAGCAGGTCCCGCAGCTTCTCGTCCTTGCCCCACACCTCCACTGCCGAGATCCGCACGGAGAACCGCGCCCCTGTCTTCTCCTTGCGCTCATCGATCAGCTTGAAGAGCCAAGAGATGGCGCAGGGGATGATGCCCAGGTCCTGCATGGAGTCATCCTTCCCGATCATGGTGTAGGATTTCCCTGCAGAGTCCGGGAAGAAAGAAATGCACTGAGTGTTTCTGTGCTGTCCTACGGTCTCAGAAGAAAGGCATGAGCAAGTGGACAAGAGTGACGACAAGGAAAGAAAAGGCCAGAAAAACAGCGGCCATTTATGTCAACAGCCAAAAGCATTTCCTAGACTGCTGATGAGATGGTTACGACAGAATGTGACAGTCCAAATGAGTGACAAGATGAAGTCACCCTGACCTTGAGAGGGTCCCAGGCACCCTGGCTATCCAGTCCTCGTGGCTTTACATAACGTGGGGAGAGAGGGCCTGTGTATATTTTTATAACACAAGCAAATTCCACTAAATTCCAGACTGCTGCTTTGATAGGAAATCCGGGAGAGAAGGGAGGGGAGGGGAAGATGGAGGTGACAGAGGTACAAAGTCTGGCCTCATGCTATTTGCGAGGCCTGGGGACCATATGCCAAGGGACACTTTCTGGAGTCCCCAAATTACGAATTTATCAAGCATGTCAAGCAAGGCCTGGCAAGCAGACTGATGGCCAGGGGTCAGGACTTAGGATAATAGAGGGGCTTTAATCAGAGCCATTTTGGGGAGGGTCTCTGCTCCCTTTTACAAGGTTTTCAGCACCTGGGGGCTCCCAACAGGCCCTGGATGCCGGAAGGCGAGCACAGGGTGAGGCCGCCACCACACCCGCACCCTCCCCCACAACCCACCGCACTAGGCTTCACTTGGCTTTTCCACCGATTCCCACCACCGCCTGAGTCCTCTGGCTTCCCAGGAAGCCTCCTGCTTACTTTCTGGGATTGACCCTCAGCTGGACCAGGTGGGAACAACTTGCCACTCCCGTTTCCCTCTCGGACTTGAAGCAGCCCTACACGAAGGGCGCCCACCTATGGCAAGTGCCCGCATTTCAACAGCAAGCCAGGTTACTGGCGATCATTGGCCCCCTAAGGGAAACTGAACCCCTCCTCTCATCTTGCGGGCCCTAGAGCCTGTACAGAGGCATGGATGGGGCTACTGGGCACCGGATGACCTGCACGAGGAAGAAGTCAAGCTCTCACTCACCCAGCTTGGCGTGGCCAAAGCAGAACACACAGCCATCTGCCCCATTCACCACAGACTGGATCACCTCCGCCACCGTTCCAGCACACACTTCGGCCTGTGGGACACAAGAGGAGACACAGGTGGAAAGTGCACCACGCAGCTGAGGCACCATTAGCAACGGAGAGTTGACCCTGCCTTCCTGAAGCTCAGGGTCCTGGTGTCACCACATTCCCAGATATGACAGCCTCTGCCACAGAGCTCTGGGGAGCTCAGAGCCACGGGGGACCCTCTGCTCTGCGCTGCATGGGATGTTTTCATGGACTCCATGCCCTCTCCCCACAGGCTGCTCCGGCTTCCTGGACAGAGCACTTCAGCTCTCTATTGCCCCCTGCTAACTGGAACCTTCCTTTACACAGATAGACACACAGACACACACACATACAGACAGCCTATGAAATGGACCTGGTGTTTTAGAGTGAAAACAGTGCTGTGCCATTTCAGAACAGTGACACTGAGAAACACAGTTCTAATATGAGCAGGAGGGGCGTGACATGTCTGCTTCTCTCTCGATCTTTCTTCCTCTCCACCCCGGCCCCCTCTTGTCTAAAGCGACTTTCTTTTTCTCTCTCTGCACACACACTCAGCATATGCAAAATCGATCCCCCTGCAGGATGCTGTGTGGGGTGGGTGTTCTTCAGCCTGGCAATGTCTCGGCTCTAATCTGATTATTCAATCTGTAGTCAGGGACCTGGCTTTTTGTGACTTTTTCTATTCCCCACCGACACTCATCTAGAGCTCTGTAAACAAGATGGATGAGGTATATTTTGTGACCCTCTTGGAGGTCTGGGAAATCTCTCTGGTCAACGTCTGAGACTTCCGCCGCGGCAGGAGGACGACACGCTCTCTCTGTCCTATTGTCGTCCTCTCTGTCTCAGGCTGAGGCACGGACAGCCATGCATGGCTGGAGCTGGCCGTCGTCAGCAATGTGGCTCCCAGCGGGAACCTGAGAGCGGCCGCCACAGCCATGGATGCAGTTATTTAGCTGCAGCCCTCAGCAGCACAATGAACCAAAGAATTCAGAAATCAATTTTCTCTCCCAAACCGAAATGGAAAAACCACGCTCCCAAAAACTGTCAATTGTTCCAGGCTGGTCACCTCCACGGCTCTGCTGGGGGCTCCTCCTGAGTCAAGGGGGCGGCAGGACAGGGCTGGTGGAGACCCTGGGATCTTTCTCAACCCCCAAGATGGAGAAAAGATTCCAGCACTAAACTCTGAGATCAAGACCGGAGAATTCTGATGGAATTTGCCAGAGGCACCTCCAAAGAGCAAGGAGAAGTTGTTTCTGGGCACACCCTGACTTCTTTGCATAAGGTAGGCTGTGACCTACCTTGGCCATATATAACAAACTATTAGAGTCTCCAGCCACCAGGCAGAGTGCTGGTGGTGTATGGACAAAACTGCTATTACAGAGTCACCCATGCAGAGGCAAGGGGACAGAGAGACACAGGAGTGCCCTCACAGGACACAGGGTGGCACAGGCAGCCAGCCCCTTGCAGAGTTCCTGCCCAGCTATCCATCAAGAAGAGGGTGATCAGCCATCTGCTCACCTGCTGTTTGTGAAGAGCTGACAATGGCTCCTGGCAGCCCCCTGTCAACTTCCCAAGGGCCTGGAGAAGCAGGCAGGCTGCCTGAGCTCACACCCTGTGCCTGGCTCCCCTACAGGCCTGAGTCTTCCACCATCCCTGAAGCCAGACCCAGCAGAGGCTGTTCCAACAGTGGGCTGCCAAGGTCACCTAAGGGTAACAAGACTGGCTCACAAGGGCAGGGAGGGACATTTGACAGAAGTGGACACGGTGGCCCAGATTGATGAATGAGTTGCCCAGAGACTCACTGCTAGAAAGTAGTGATTAAAATAGTCAGAGATCAGAGACACTGAACAGGATGCAGCAGAGCTAATGGGAGAATCTAGGAAGGACGTCTGCTCGGGAGTAGAACTCATGTCTGAGCCTTGGTTTCCTTGTCTGTCATGCGGAAATAGGAAAAACTTCCTTTCCCATCAGACAGGGTTCTAGCAAGTCAAATGGTTAATAGCTATGAAACTTCTTGAACATTGAAAATCTGTATAGAAGTGTAGTTTATAATATTAGACATGTGAACAAACCATGACATTCTGGGTATTTTTTTGGTGGTACTGGGGTTTAAACTCAGGGCCTCACACTTGCTAGGCAGGTGCTCTACCACTTGAGCCACTCCGCCAGCCCAACCGTAACATTCTGACATGGGTGAAAGTATAGCCTTGAGAGTCTGGGCTCAGGAGTCAAGTGTGAAACATAAAGACTACCAGTAAAAATGGCTTTTTTTTTCCTGGAATAAATCCAAAACTCCTTAATAGTTCATGTTTAACTTAGGGAGTGCTTTCAAAATTCTTACAACTTACTGAGATTTGCTCCTACAAAGTTTTTAACTGTGTTAATTAAATGATCAGTAGGCCATTTATTAGACCCAAGGTCAGGTTTAAATTACTGAGCCCACTGGGTGGTCAGCACAAAAACCGAAATGAACAGAGAAACCATGGGCTGATTCATAAAGTACTTTGCGTCTTCTGAGGGTACTCCTTGGGGAGAGCACACGCCCAGCTTCCTAATGAATGGACCCTATAACCTGCACTGTGCTCCTGTGGCCTAACACAGGAGCCACGTGAACGTCGCTGCTTCCTACACTTGGAAACAAGGAGGAGGAAGTTAATAGGCTGCAGATGGTCAGATTGGATTAAAGGTGCAGGTGTCTGATGCCAGAACACAGGCAAAGTAGAATTGTATACCTCTAGCCTGGGTTATTAATTTTGGGTGCTGTGGATTGGACCCAGAGCTGTGGACATGCTAAGCACGTGCTTCTCCACTGGGCCACACCCAGCCCTGAGTTATATATTTTTCTGCAATTAGTCAGTCCTACACCCATGTCACCTCCCCAACCCCCAGGCTCTTGAGGGAGCAGACTCTGTTTGATGCCACTTCAAGGCTCACACTGACCAAAGCACCAGGAGTCAACCCCAGGAGGAATGAATGTCTACTAGAACCTTTAGGAGTACCATCTGGAAGGGTGGGCCATTCCGTGATGGCCGATGGCCTAGGAATATTGACTTCACAGACTCCCAAGGAGTCTGCAAATTATATTGGTAGATTAGGAAGACTGTCCCAAGTTCCCCATCATGCCCCGTGTGCATGCTCCTTGCAACGGGACTTTGTACCTCATCCAGTCAAACAGTCTCTTCCCCAGCCCTAGAATCTGGGCCAACAGACTGCCGAAGAAGTATGGACCCCAGGTCTAGGCCTCAGAAGGCCTGCATGCTTGGGTCATGAGAACAAGCCCAGGCTAGCCTGCTGGACAATGGGAGCCACCATGGAAGAGAGACCAGTTGACCAAGTTAAGGCCATTCTAGACCAGCCTAGAGTCAGCCAGCTCCCAAACCTGCGACAGCATCTGGCCAAGAGCCTCAAAACTGTCTGCCTAGCTCAACCCCAGACATGTCATGGACTAGGCTAGCGGCAGGAGAACGGCTCAGCTGGTCCACTGACAAAAGCAAATGCCTGTTGGTTTAAGTATGGAGTTCGAGTGTGGTTTGTAACACAGCAACAGCTGGCTGATTTCACAGCTGTCCCCAAGCCTCTTTTATGCCACCCTACTCCACTGATCCCAATGGCAGGGTGTGTGGCAACCTGTTTCCCTGTCAAGCACTCCAGTTCCTCACCAGGACACACACCTGCCCTTGAACCTCAGTGGATTTACACAGGGCCCTGGGGAACCACCTACTTTGAATCCAGCTCCCTGGAACTTGTTTTCCCTTCTTCCGTGCCCACACCCAGAAGCCCAGGCAGGAGCAGGGTCCTAACGTCCCGCACCAGCTCCTCCCTGCAGCTGTTCCCGTGGCTTCCAAGGCTGTCTGTTATCCTGTTTCTGTAAGTCACCCACTGATGCCTTGCTCTTTCTTTTCCCAGGTAGATTTTGTTGAGATCCCAGCACACTGATCCTGCCCCTGCCCCAGGTATCACAGCAGTGACTCAGAAGGCCAGGACTATTCGATGGAGCATTGTGTGGATAGAGAAATTTGTCCGTCGGAGTGCTCCAACGGACGCCCTCCCAGCTCCTGGTCCTGGAGGGTGAGGGAAGACCCTCTAACCAGCCTTGCCTGAGCTGGAGAGGCTCATACCTACCTGAGAGGCATCTTGTGGGAACACGGCGTCGAATGCAAACATCTTTGGAGGGACCTGGTTGCTTCTCTTTGGGAAGACATTTTGATCGCCACAGGTGAGGGGATCGTACAGAGTGATCTGCTTCTTCCGTGGGTCCACCTTTAAGAAAGAGCTGGATTCCGAGGTATCTCGAGCCAAAGTGGAACAAATTCGAAGCATGACTTTTACCTGTTGAGAAACAGACACCACACAGATTAGGGCCGGCAGCTACTTCACCATGGAGCACCTGTACCTGTAAATGTTAGTGGCAGCACCGAACTCTCATGCTTCGTGAAAATGATGCACAGTGACGCAACCACCCAACCCTTGCTGGGTCACGGGGAAGCTGGTTTATTTGTAGTTACTGATAGGATATTTTGATGTACCTATGACTTTAATGCAGAGCTGGCACATCGTATTCTTTGTCTTCCTATTAATATAAATTAAAAATTAACTATGCCCCGGTGGCCTAATTACATAGATGAAAGCTCCTCTGAACTGTCAAGCCACCGGGGCTGCTGCAGTTCTCTTGGACCTCACAGATCAATAAACCATGCACATAAAAGTTTAGCTCTGTAATTTACTCTCTCGCTCAGATCATCAGGACTCAGGGAGACAAAAATCCACAGTTATTAGAGTCATCATTAAAGCCCCGTGAAATGGCCCATTTTTTAATGGCCAGCATTTGAGATGTGTTCCAAGGGGCAGCAGTGATAAAAGATAGGTTTTGCAACGTGTTATTTGGGATTCCATTAAGTGAGTGCAGAGAAGTCGTCATGTCAAGGAATGAGAGCACGTCTCTGGAAACAGAAGGCAACGCTGTTTCACTCACCTTCTGAGACACCAAACAAGACCAACCCTGCTCCCCCGCTCAGCTCATGGAAAAGGACAGCCCTTCTCAGAGCCCAAGGTGAGCAGAAATGAATAAAACCGCACTCGGGTCTGGAGGCTACAGTAGCTCTTACCAGCTCTTTGTTACGCTGTTGCTGGTTCCCTCCAACACCCGATGGGCACTTTCTCTGAGTACCTGCCATGTGCCAGGCACTGAGCTAGGCACTAGTGATGCAAAGATAAAAAAGACATAGATAGGGCGGCAGGGCAGACAGACACGGGAAAGAATTTCAGCAATACGAGGTAGCAAGTTGTGACTGTAGGCACAAGGATTATTTTTAAACTTTGTTCTTTTTGCCTAATTCATGGTCATAGCTGATGAAATCTCCATGATGCAATTTTTGGGAAGGGAGTAGTTGTAAAATTTTAAATAAAACATCTCAGACATACAGAAGTGTTTGGAGAGTGACACAGATTGTGCAGATGCAGTGTGGTCATCTCTATGCCTATTTCAGTTCCATCTACTGAGGTCCAGAGATGATTTATATCGTATAAGACTAAAATATAAAAAGTTCTGAGGATACTGGACCTGTCAGATGTCAGGTACTGTGGCCCAGCCATTCTTGACCTTAATTTTTGAAGAATCAGCTCAGCAGGAGCTGGTCAGAGTGCAGACGGATGGACCTAACTGGAAGTGCCATTTGGCATCAGTTTGGTCTCAAGCCCAGCAGGATTAGAATTTCCTTTAAACCTTCCAAATATCTGGAAAGTGTTCCTTAACTTCCTAAAACATGTCTGAAGGTGTTTTCTAAGGTAAATTAGAGGCAAAAAAGGTAAGTTGGTCAAAAACACCCATAGGAAGAATGGTGGGGAAAGGAGGAAGACTGTAAGATTGTCATATGGGATTCTAAAACCAGAGGGAGTGCTGGGGTGTGGCTCAGAGGCACAGCGCTTTCCCAGCACGCACAAGGCCCTGGGTTCCATCCCAGCACAGCAAAACCAGCCAACCAACAAACAGCTCCCCCAACACACAAACATACACCCAAACCAAACCAAAGAGGTCATCAGAGGAAACAGGGAGTGCTCATTGTTTTAGGTGCGTCTGGAGAGGCCACCATTGTTGGGTGTCCACACAAGAGCTTAAATGACGCTCATGCCTGGGACGAAGGGCAGAGTTCTTTCTTCCCCACGCCCTTATCATCACGCACATCTTTTCCTGGTTGGTGAGGGATCCATCCAATGGAAAGACCCAAAGAGGTGAGCAGGTGAAACGGCAGCCAAACTCCAGAGCTGATAAGAAGCTGATTCCTGCCCAGATCTGTCTGCTTCCTAGGGAGGCAAGAGGCAGCAATGGCCACTGTCTCCTCGTGGTGTGGGAAAGCCACAGGAAGGACAATCAGGTTGCCACTCACGTGTGTGAAGACAGCCAGCCTGGAAGAAGACTGAGTGGAGGGTGTCAGGCTCTGCCCGAGGAGAGATGGTGGGGGGTGAGGTTAGGGGTGGGGGTAGAAGGCAGGGCCATGCTGTCCTTGGGGCAGACGGGAAGCCTTGCCTGGTTTCCATGCAGGTTTGGATGGGATTCAGCTGCCAAGAGAAGAAGTGGATGGATAAGAAAACAGTGCATTGTTTCTAACGGCACATCTCCCTCTGTGCGTGCCGGCTATGGTGGGCACCTCAGCGAACCCGCAGCGGGAAGTATGTTCTGACCCAGATGTCACAGGTAGTTTGTGGGCTGCTAAGGTGTGGACCTTGGCCTTGATATCCCTAAGATGGGGCTGTGTTGCTGCCTCCCTTGATAGATGTGAAGAGCAAAGAGATGACAAGTGACTATACAGCAGCACACTGACACAGAGTTGAGGTGGTCCTCCAGATCCACAGGTTCAAGTCCTCCCTCAGCCAACCATAGACAGAGTACCTGGGGAAATATATCTGTACTGAAGACGATCCAGGCTTTTCCTTGTCGTATTCCCTTGCACATACAAGCACAACTATTTACATAGCATCTACATTGTATTTACATAAAAGTACACAGGAGGGTGTCATCTGTGCACAGGACTTCAGCATCCACAGATGTGGGGGTCTGTGTCACCCATGGACATGGAAGAACGGCTATATTATCTGAGGAAAGAAAGGAAGACAAAGAAAGAAGGAAGGAAAGAAGAATTCATTTTCTCCAAATTAACTCGAATAACATAGATTTCATACATCAAATTAACAACTCCAGAAGGCTTCCTATGGAAAGACCCAAAGAGGTGAGCAGGTGAAACGGCAGCCAAACTCCAGAGCTGATAAGAAGCTGATTCCTGCCCAGATCTGTCTGCTTCCTAGGGAGGCAAGAGGCAGCAATGGCCACTGTCTCCTCGTGGTGTGGGAAAGCCACAGGAAGGACAATCAGGTTGCCACTCACGTGTGTGAAGACAGCCAGCCTGGAAGAAGACTGAGTGGAGGGTGTCAGGCTCTGCCCGAGGAGAGATGGTGGGGGGTGAGGTTAGGGGTGGGGGTAGAAGGCAGGGCCATGCTGTCCTTGGGGCAGACGGGAAGCCTTGCCTGGTTTCCATGCAGGTTTGGATGGGATTCAGCTGCCAAGAGAAGAAGTGGATGGATAAGAAAACAGTGCATTGTTTCTAACGGCACATCTCCCTCTGTGCGTGCCAGCTATGGTGGGCACCTCAGCGAACCCGCAGCGGGAAGTATGTTCTGACCCAGATGTCACAGGTAGTTTGTGGGCTGCTAAGGTGTGGACCTTGGCCTTGATATCCCTAAGATGGGGCTGTGTTGCTGCCTCCCTTGATAGATGTGAAGAGCAAAGAGATGACAAGTGACTATACAGCAGCACACTGACACAGAGTTGAGGTGGTCCTCCAGATCCACAGGTTCAAGTCCTCCCTCAGCCAACCATAGACAGAGTACCTGGGGAAATATATCTGTACTGAAGACGATCCGGGCTTTTCCTTGTCGTATTCCCTTGCACATACAAGCACAACTATTTACATAGCATCTACATTGTATTTACATAAAAGTACACAGGAGGGTGTCATCTGTGCACAGGACTTCAGCATCCACAGATGTGGGGGTCTGTGTCACCCATGGACATGGAAGAACGGCTATATTATCTGAGGAAAGAAAGGAAGACAAAGAAAGAAGGAAGGAAAGAAGAATTCATTTTCTCCAAATTAACTCGAATAACATAGATTTCATACATCAAATTAACAACTCCAGAAGGCTTCTCCTAGGTTTAATATTACAAATTAAAACAAAATCAAACACGTGCATACAGAGGCGAGAGGCAAAAGCAGGTTATTTTCTTCCTACTGACATTGAAGAGTACACGGTTTGTTCACATTTTCTGTAAAGGTGAGCCATCCCTGCAGAATTTGATCTGCGCCTGTAAAGGTCAAGTGTGGTCTTCCTCACGTTTTCTTCCTGCCCTTTCTGTCTTGGCCAAGCACCGAGAGCTAGGTGCCCACACTATTCATGGAGCGTGGGTCACTCTGGGGAATCCCCAGCCTGCTGAGGAAGGTGGCTGAGAGACAGAAGCCCCAACAGCGCCCTTCTCAACACTCACTGTCCTGCCCCCCACGAGATCCAGCAGCCTCTGTATCCTTTGTGCTATGAAATTCTGCTCAGTAAATCACAGGAGGTTCAGATGAAGCTCCAGTTTCTAAAAACTCAGTGTGAGGGTCGAAAGTACAATTTCACAGTTACTATTTAAAGAGCCCTTTTTAAATAGCATAATGGGTGACCCACGACCAGTGCTCTGAATTCTACAACCATGACTTCTTCTTTCCTCTCTTATTTACCCAACGTGCCAGCCTAACCCCATAGGAGGAATAGACAGCAATGGTAAAGCAAATTAAAATCAGGTTTTATGTAAGGAGAATGTTTAAATACTGATCTGGTAAAATTTCTATAAATGACCTGAAATTACTTTTACTGGAGGAAGATCTTTATGGTTTCATGGCATCGACAAGTTCCAGAAGGTTTTCAGGACACCACAAGAATCATATTCCACACAGTAATGACCTGGGAGGTCTCAAATAACTCCAGTTCCAGGAAATGCAGGGAGAACTATGAAGACTGCAACCCCTAAATGCAAAGGGAGCTTTTTATGTATCTTATAAAGACATGGTTCCATCAAACCACAATTAACATTAGAGAGGTAACGGTAAGGTCTCCACCTGAGGGGACCCCAGAGACGCTAGCACAGTTGGGTTGTTAGAGAACAAACCTGAATGGATAGGATTTGTTTGCATGGGAACACAGTGATAATCCTACCTGACATATTCAAAGGTTCTCGGGTGTTGTGTTCACCTGGAGAAAGTCCAGAGCCATGTGGAAGGTTTGAAATCCAAACTATGGGAGGCTGAGGTACACTCGGGCCACTCGCTGTTTGGGACAGCGCCTACCCTGTGTTGAAAAGATCCGAGTGTCGTCAGCCACCAGCACCACTGCCATGGCTTCC